AGCAGCAACATGAAACAGATCAGCAGCAACATGAAACAGATCAGCAGAAACCTGAAACAGATCAGCAGAAACATGAAACAGATCAGCAGAAACATGAAACAGATCAGCAGCAACATGAAACAGATCAGCAGAAACATGAAACAGATCAGCAGAAACATGAAACAGATCAGCAGCAACATGAAGTGATTTTTTTTTCACAGTGATTCTCCTGGTTAGAGATTCATGAGTCTAACAGCCTCAGGGTAGAAGCTGTTCCTCAGTCTAGTGGTTCTACACTTAATGCTCCTCAACCTCCTTCCTGAGGGGAGTGGGGCAAAAAGTGTGTGTGCTGGGTGAGTGTGGTCCTTCATGATGCAGGTGGCCCTCTTCCTGCATCTGGAGGTGTAGATATCTGTGATGGTGGGGAGGCTGACTCCAACAACTTCTGTGCAGCCTTCACCTTCAATGTGTTCAACATAAAGGTACTTCTTCCAGTTATCTAACGGTCAACAATGGTGAACCACAAGGTTCTGTGTTAGGACCCACCCTCTTCACAATGACATAGGTAATGTAGGTCCGTAGGTCAGAGCATCCCTGATGCATCCTTACACTGCTATGCTGATGATTGTTGAGCTAAACAGTTGCTAAGGTTTTCCAGCTTTTGCAATACGCTTTTGACATCATCCAGTCAGATTTGTTCTATCTCAGACTTGTACTAAACACAGGCAAAACCAAAGGGATGTTGTTTACAGACAGGAAGTCGGTCCCAACAGTTCTTCCCTCGATTTTATCCTCGAATGATGTCCCTATTGAGTTTATTGATTCCTATAAATATTTGGGTATCAGTCGACTCACATCTCTCTTTTAAGCTTCATGTGGAAAACTTGGTAAAGAAACTGGAAGTTAAACTGGGTTTGTTTTTCAGAAACAGATCTTGTCTAACCCTGAACCCTGAGGAACACCTTGTATCTGTGACTTTCCTTCCCTCCATTGATCACAGTGACATTATTTACATGAACGCTCCTACAAGAACCCTGCAGATGTTGGATGCTGCAGATGTTGGATGCTGCAGATGTTGGATGCTGCAGATGTTGGATGCTGTCTATCATGGTGCACTAAGATTCATAACTGGCTGTGATTATCGTACCCACCACTGCACCCAGTATTCACTGGTTAACTGGTCACCATTAACTTCACACAGACTCTCTCACTGGTACATGTTCATCTTTAAATCACTTCCTGGTCTGCTGCCTTCATACATCTCCTCCTACATGTCTCTGTGTGAGTGCAGCTACAGCGTGCGCTCTCAGGACATTATTACCTGCAGTGTTCCCTCAGTGAGGACTGAACTAGACAAAAGGACCTTCTTCTACTCTGCTCCTGTTTCCTGGAATATCTTGTAAAAAGATCTGAAGCTCTCGACCTTTGACCTCTCTAAGTGGCTTCAAACATCTAAGTTCCTACAGATGTTCCTGTTTTTAGTTTTCTACATCGTCTTACAACCTAGTTGTTTTTTGTTACATTTTTTTAAATACCATTTTATTTTTACTTGTTATTCTCAAGTTTTTTGCAACAGATGTAAGATGTTCCTCAAAATAAAATGGATTTAAAAATATCGGAAAAAACTGAAACAAATGAGGAAAGCTCAGGAGAAAAAAAATGAGCCTTGAACACTGTTCACCCACAAGGACCTGTGTCCACCAGACCTGGGTTTTGGTTTGCCTGCTCCACATATCCACAAGGCTGTGTCCTAAGCCACCTGAACATGTGACTGTCAAGCCCATCAACACTAATGAGCTGACCCTAGACCTCCATCCAGCCCTGAAACAGAGATGTGGACAATGTGGAGAGGGTCCATCTTTCAGGATTCTGGGTGGGCAGGTTAAGGAGGACCGGACCTGGAGCACCAGAACCACAGAGACCATAAAGAAAGCACAACAGTCTTTATTCTCTTAGACTTCTTAGAAAGAACCACATCTCTTAAAGGTTGCTGGTGCTCTTCTCCCACCATGCGCTCAGACATGAAGGTGCTCCAGGGGGTCAGAAGAACCTCACCCCAGAACTCTGTCAGGGGCTCTCCCCTCACCCTAAAAGAACCATATGCAAGTTTAACAAAAGCAAAAACCATCCTGAAGGACAAAACCCACCCAGAACTCAGCCTGTTGGACCTGCTGCCCTGGGACTTTTAAAAACCAGGACCAACGTCCAATGGAAACATTGCTCTTTTCACACCAGGTAAAGAAGAGTGCTGCTCTTCTGTTGGCATGTTAGAACTATTAGCAATACATCAAATGATTCATTTTAATAACCCGGCTCTCTGACATCAATGGGATGCAGTTAATGTTAAGCATTTGTTGGTTTTATAAAAACTTTTTCTTGCCTCTGTGGTTGGGCGAGCGGACGAGGATGGCGTTGTTGTCAGAACTCCTTACCTTTAAAGAAGCTTTTGACCCGCAGGTACCCCGCGCTGAGGCGCAGGACGGACAGCTTGTCCAGCCGGGAGCGCACGTCCTCGGGGAAGGGCAGCAGGTCCATCAGCCGGTCCAGCTCCCCGTTCAGCCGATCCCGGTGGCGCTTCGACGGGTTGGACTTGACGACTTCATTGCTGCTGGAGATCTTCTTTCTGGTGAGGGAGGTGACAGAACATGAGTGGAGCTGACTGAGGAGGCGAGGCATCGTGACCCAAATCCTCAACCAAGCGTTCACGGTGAGTTCAGCTCGTCACTGTTTCTGACTCTCAGTCCGACTGATGAAGGAGGGGCTCTCTGACATCACTGCTGGGAACAGGAAGTAAAGATTTTTAGATAGAGACACATCAAACAGGAAGTGAGCTGCAAGATCCACACATGTTCGCGTTTCCACCCAGAGGAGAACAGTAGCTTCAGCTCGTTGGTGGACGACGTTCATCAGGAGGTCTGCAGGAAGTGTCGAAGCATTTGCAGCCACGTAACAAAATGTACGGCTGTTTAAGTTTTCCAGACTGAGCACAAAGAGATGGTCATTTTCTAAAGTGGCATTGCACGACGCCTGTCTGCTGGTCGGCAACGCTCAGCGCTGAAAGCTTCAACTGAAACTTTCCACAAATCTGAGTCTCCAGCTGGGCTCCAACAGATCCAGTCCAGGAAATGGACAAACTTAGAAAGCACCTTGTCCAACCAGGAGTCAGAGGACCTTACGCCATGTGTGCCTCCAAACAGCGCTCTGCTGCATCTCCACGTTAATAATCGGAGTAAATTGTTCTAATCCAGGGCGAGCTGTGGGTGTTGTTACCAGAGGACCCAATCAGGGTCTTTAACCCAACCAAGAAGATGCATTTTCTTTACGACAGATAAACTGAGACGCTGACAGACGTTTTCTGGTTGTTGCATCGCTAGCTTGACCCAATCCTCCCTAGGATTATTAGACATACTCTGTGAAGACTGGCTCTTGTTAGCAAACACAAACGTGTGCTTGTTTTTGGTCTTTTAGGGTTAGTCGAGTTCTGGAAACACAACAACTTAAAAAATAAAAAAGTTTTAGCTCATCTTAAGCCAAACGTTTTAACGTATTTATCCAACATGTCTAACTTGATTTCTTAAGGTTCTTTAATAAAATGTTCATCAACTCATTTAAAAGTCGTTTTCTTTTTAATTGAAGATATTGGGGGCCAGATGAAGTATGTCCAAGGGGCCCTTTTGGCCCTCGGGCCACATGTTGAACAGCTGTACAGGGACCTCACTGAGGTTGAACATGGAGGGGCGTCTTCACAATAAAGTGTTTTGTCTCGACACAGTTTGATTATCTGTAAAACACAAAAAGCGCTGAATTATTAAATTCTTCCAAGTGTTCTTGTTTCCAACCAGAAACAGTCCAGGTACAGAAATAAGCCGAGGTCTGGTCAGAACTGAAGCTAACCTGGTTAAGTATAAATTAATGTACCGTAATTGCTGGTGTATTGAGAGCACCTGAATATAAGCAGCGCACACTAAATTTACAAATTTAACATTTTTGTACATATATAGGCCGCGCCTTAGAGTTGCATTCGGGCCAAAAAAATCCAACCCGACCTGGCTCCAGCCCGTAGCCATCATTTCAGAACCCCACCCGACCCGAAGAATTAACAGTACTTACAGGTCTGAACCTGACCCACCCCCCCACCCCCCGACATTTTTAATTAAGCTGTGACTGTTTATAGAGTGATTGACGGTTGGCGGACGCACGGATGAATAAAGGGGCAGACGATCGGAGCTGAGGGGGTGTTTGTCCTTTCATGGCCGTCAAAGCTCATTAAATGCTTCTGCCTGCATTCTGCATTATTCAGGCACAGACCCTGCTCTGACGTGTCGGATATTTTGGGATGTCAACTTTTTAAATGGCACCACCACCTTCTAAAGCACAGGTGTCAAACTCCAGGCCTCGAGGGCCGGAGTGCTGCAACTTTTAGATGTGTCTCTGATGCCACAGCGGAATCAAATAAGGAGGTCAGTAGCAGGACTTTGGAGAACTTGACTGCACTGAGAAGCTAATTCAGTCATATGATTGAGCTGTGTGGCATCAGAGACACATCTACAAGCTGCAGGACTCCGTTCCTCGAGGCCTGGAGTTTGACACCCCTGATGTAAAGGAAAGAACAAACATGGCTCATTTGTTTGAATGTCTTTCTTTACTTTAACTGAACTTTATTTTACCTCTTTCAAGGCCGGTCAGCGCACCGTCAAATGTCCACGTGCGGCTGGTGATTGTATGGCAAGCCATGTTGCCATATAATTGGATCGTGACCAGCAGTCAACCACAGCAGAATGCTACAATATGTACCACTAACATACACAAATACTACAGTAAATGTTTAGTTTTTATCTGAACAGTGCTGGTAACTCGGCTGCTTAAAATAAATACAGCAGCCTACCAGGAAGTCATTGATCGCTTTTTTCCTCCTGCTGCTCCATGGAGGTCACATGCCAACATGACTACCCCTCCCCGTTCTCTCTTCCCCTCCCATTTTATTGGTTCGGCTGTGACCAGTTCAGTAATTTTAGTGGTCAGATTGTTTTTAAACCTTTATTTAAACAGGTAGTCTCATCAATACATGTCTTTTTGGGGGGTGGGTCCTCGTGATTCAATGAGACTACATCATTGGTTCATTGTGGTTGGCTGCTGGTCACATGGCCCCAGGGAGGGATTATGGGAAAACTTTATGTTCAGTGTTAATCATTTTAGTTAGCTGTTTAGCATTGTTCTTTTAGTGATTAGTCTGTTCTTGTTAGCCTAGTTTAGTTTGTTAGGCCATTCAGTACAGTAACTATGAGTGAGGGAGGTAGTTGTCATGACGACCTGTGGGGTTCACTCGGTCTGCGTGTGTTGAACATAGGGCGGGACGATATGGCCAAAACTTATATCACGATATATTTCTTCATTTCAGTCGATACGATAGAATTCTGATATTGATATACAGTAGGCCCTCGCTACTTCACGGTTCATTATTTGCGAACTCGCTTTATAACATTTAAAAATAAATAAATAAATTATATATACACACACACACATACACACAAACATATATAAATATATATAAACAATAAAATAAACTACTTACTACTTGTACTACTATTCCTACTTGGTGGTTTTTCCACTTATCGCGGGTCTTCAGGGTACAGATCCCCGCGATAAACGAGGGACGACTATGAACAATATAAAAGTGTCAGAAAAAGTGCAAAGAATGCTCACAACAGATGCTCGTGAAAATAAAAATTATTTTGCAAAGTCTATGAAACTTGTTCAGTAAAACATCTTACAAACACAAACTGTACAAATAAATTAATGTTCATCTTTTATTTGTATTTAGTCTTCAAAGAAATTTGAAATCACTGTCAAATAAACATAAAACTCATCTTTGTAATTTTTAATAGCTTTAACTTTAAACAACAACAACAACAACAACAACAACAACAACAACAACAACAACAA